TTCTTTACTTTCTGGTACTACAAGATGTTTCAGGTTCATCTTGTATATTCCCTGCAAATGACTAGAATCAGTCATTTCTCTAGGGAACATTGCATCTTTTATTGGAGAGTGGCCTTAGAAACAAAGATCTGGGGGCTAGTATGCTGGTTGCTACTGGAATGTTGTTGCTTCTAGGACCTCTCAACTTGGAAAGATATGAATGTATACCCACTCCCAGTACACATATATGCATCTATAATTATTTCTATATTGATTCATCTGTGTCTATATTAAGCTAAAGATGAGTTCATACTAATGTCCCTTGCTCTGCATTTAAAGAAAAAAGTTGGCAACAGATGGTGTCTTACAGCAAATTCTATTTCAGTTTGCTATGATTATAAAATCTACTAAAAAAAAATCAGTGTCTTAAGTCCATTCTCTAGGCCTCCTCTGAGGATTAGATGGTATGGACATCACAGTTCTAGAAACACAGCCCTGCCTGGAACAGAAGAACAGTAATCATCAGGAGAAAGAGAAAGTTGGGCAGGAGTTGCAATCATCTTGCTCTTTGACTAGATGACAAAGGAGACATCTAATAGGAAGTGTGGATGTTCTCTGAGAATTCACTAGTCCCATTTTCCTGCTATGAGTATTTCTGGCAGTCTTTAACAAAGAGACATGAATCATCTGGTAAAGAGAGCAGTTTCAGTAGCACTTTGTCTTACTCTATTTGGCAAACATGAGGGTGCACCACCCTGCATCAGGAAATGGTGCTAGCAAAGTACCTGTAACCTAAAACAAGTATTAAAGTGCAGGCTTTTTTGTTTCTAGGTCTTCCTGCCATTGCAAAAATAATGCCTTTGTTACTTACCCTGGAGCTTTTGCAAGCGAGGCCGGTGGAAGAAAGCCTGCATCATGGACTTGGGTGTCAATGATATAATCCAGGAAAGAAAAGTTCAGTTCATTTCTATTCAGAGAGAGGTGATTGTGAAGATCAGGTAGCCAGGCATGGAGTTCTCAAAAAATTACTCTTTTAACTCAAAGAATGAAGAAATACCTAAGGAGAGCTCTATTTAGCCAAGATCAGATCTATTTGAGCATCTTATGAAAATACCTACAAACATAATTTGACAGTTAAGGAAATGTGGAAGAACCAGTTTTGTAATGCAATAAGAGATGGCACTAAAGATATGCCATAGCTTTTCATAAAAATTCATATATATAAACATCTGATTTGAGAAACTTCTACTTTTCAGTGTGGAGAATTACTTGAAAGGAAATTAAATATGAAAGGGGAGTGCAGAATGGAAAACCTAATTGAAGGTTTGCTACAACAGAGAAAGGCTAAGATCATGATCTGTATTAGGCAGTGTTTTCACAGACTAAAAAGATAAGACCTTGCAAAAATCTTAATAATACTCTTCTTAATGCTACATATTAATCACCTTTCTTGGCTTATACTATCTTCTTATAAACACAATGTATCCATTGTGTTGTCATGGGTTGGATATTTTTAGGTGAGAATACTGGTGTAGGCTACATATTTTGAGTAGAGATTACACTGGTTACAATTTTACGTAACTTGTTCAAACATTTTTAAGTGTGTATTGAAAATATAGACCAATGGAGTAATTCAAAATTATACTTTGAAAACAAAGCAAGGCACTATATGTGATTGTATAAACACATCATAATAATCTTGGCATATGCAATGGAGTAAAAATGCTATTTTCCGAATTGATTTCATTTGGTAAATGTCTAAACCCACAGCAGAATTTTGTGTGCTTTGCTGAATGTGGTTTTGCACCTAAATTTACTAAGAAAAGGGCAACAGAAAATGCATGGTATTGTGGTAAGCGTTTAAAGAAAATGAAGCATCTTGTTGAAGAATGTGCACAGAGGACATTCCATTTCTGTCCATCAACTCTTTGGGTTCTTTATTCCTTAATTTTATGATCATTTTAATGGAAAAAAGCACTGAGAGTTGAAATTAAAAAGAGAGTTCACAAAGATTTCAATCATGCAAGAATTGGAAACAAGATATAATAGAATTCCCTCATATCTCTCTATCTTTTGATAGCAACAAAACAACTAAACCTTTTATGACTCAGCATGTGACTTCTCCATGGACAGTGGAAGGCATCACCTTTCTTTGTTTATATTTAATAATAATGACTAGAATTTATGCAAAATTTGCTCTATGGAAGGCACTGTGATAACATATGCAATAATTTATTCAGTCATAATAATCACCCCATTTCAGACATGAGGGATTTGAAGTTTAAAGAGGTGTAGGTATGATTTGTACAAACTGTACTGTTAGTAAATAGCAGAGCCAAGTCTTAAAATTCAAGTCTGACATAAAAAGATCTTTTTATCTACAAGTTTGTTTGGACATTGCTGTAACATGTTTCTATAAGCAAAGGGAAAATCATGCCTAAACATTGCTGTAGTTTAGCACATAACTGGCTTGGAGCCATTGTCTTGCTTAATCTTGCCCACTCTGAAAATTCCAAGGATAAAAATAGCAGCTAAAATTACTCTTAGGGTCTCCCCAAACTATGGATTAAGACTCGAGGAAGCTCTTTTTAAGTGCCTACTAAATTACCAAATCTGGCTGCTGAGATCGTTTGTGCTAAAAATAAATAGGAAAGTCATGATTAGGGCCAAATTTCCAAGTCATAAATCAGTTGCAATGGCATGTTAGGGTGGGAGTAGGGGGCACAGGATATGGTTTTTTTTATAAATGAGTTCTTCTCTCTTATTGAAAAATCTCATTTCAAGCACGCTCCAAAAGCTTGAGAATTAAAACTGCTTTGGGAACTTGGCAAAGGAGTCCGAAAGCACAAACCAGAGTGTTGGAAACATCTACATCTAGGCTTGAATCTATCCGTCTCCACAGACATGCCCTGATGGTTTGTCCTGGTGTCTTATAAATGTCATTTGAAGGACTTATTAACTTAAATATATAAAATCTCATGGATTTCCTATTTTAGGGAGTGGCCTTTTCTGTCAATCATTTGTTCACCTATTCCAAATATTCTCAGGTCTTTGTCGGACCTTGGACATACTGTTGAATCAACTAGAGCTTTATCATACTTGAAGAACTGATTCTCATAAGAGAAGCTGGGCAACACAACAGAAAAGCTGTAACCCTCAATTTATTTTTAGCCATCTTGAACAAGTTAATGGTTTAAATTAGTCACTTCCATACTGTACTCTCAAGAACAGGGTTTTTGGAAGTGACTCAGGTACCACAGAGTGTGAGATAAGAAAAGAATGGAGACTACATTAGATGCTGTTATGCTGCTCAGATCCTCCCTTCCAAACTGAAGCCTTTACTTTGATAGCTGCTGGGAGTGTGGCTCGGTGACAGCCTCCAGCTGTTGGCCCTTTTTGAAAATTGCTTTTGGCTGAAGAGAGCTGCCTTCTCTCAGCATGTGACAACCTTGAAGGACCATGGGCATTTTAGAGCACTTAATAGGGTCACTGAGGCCTGTTGTGAGTGGATGTTTAACTCCCTTTGCCCAACTCTGCTTTCACTGTACTCAGCTGTTGATTCCAGAGCACTCCCCACTACAATTCCTGCATTCTTGAGTCTGCTTCTCAGAGAACTTAACATACTGCAAATTCAAAGTTCTACTTTTATCATTTATGTGAATGTATGTGGTCTCTGACTTACATGATTCAACTTATTTTTCAACTTTACAGTTGTGTAAAAGCAAGATGCATTCAGTAGAAACAGTATTTTGAATTTTGATCTTTTCCTGGGCTAGCGATATGAGCATGACACTCTTCGTGAGATGTTAGGTGCTGGCAGCGAGCCACACTTCTCAGTCACGCAATTATGAGGGTTAACAATAGTGTGCTGTTGTTAAACTCTGATGTTATGTAGGTTTAAGTGTACTAAATGCATTTTTTTTCACTTGCATAAGGTATTCTGTATTTACATTGAACTTGTTAGGATATAACCATGGTAAGTTGAGAAGCATCTGTCTATTGGGTAGTCATGTAAGATTTCACTTAAAGTAAACAAACAAAATACCTTTGAAAGCCATTGGTTTCACGATTAAACAAATGCTTCACCTAATACGAAAAATTATCATATTAACCATGTTTTATGGAAGACCAATTTATTTTAGTTCATCTTTTAAACCAATATCCAGGGAGCATGTTTCCCTTTTGTAATTGTTTCTTCTTAACTTTATTAATGTCATATTTATAAACATTATAAACATAATCTACACCTCTTAAAATAGAAAAGTGCATTAAATAATAAAATCATCGCTATTTTTAATATTACATATTACATTTGAATGTTCTTAAAACCAGGAAAACAACAAACAAAACAATTATGACATACCAGAAAGGGGCATTCAGTGCACAGCATATATTCTCAAATATAAATAATCCTCTACTCCCAGAAAAATAATTCCTAAGATTTTTGTCTAAAGTCAATTATGGTGTTATTAAGTAAAATTGTATATACACTTCTAATTTCTTCCATTTAAAAACATTTCATATTAAAAGTAATAATCAACTAAACTCTATAATACAGGGGTAAGCCAATAATAAAAAGGCCCAGTTTAGGATGAAAGTCACTGTTTTTTGTGGTGATTTGGAAATTCCCAATTAATTAAGTTGATGAAAAATTAAGTGGTAGACTTTAATTGCTGGAGAGATAACTTGAACTTTGTAGATATTTGAATGCTAATGTTCTGGATTTTCATTTGCTTCATCAGAATTCACTCAATAATTCTAACTTATACAATAGTCAAGGCAACAGAAAAGAAATAGAGCTTGGAGGCAGAGGCTGATCTTGATTTTCCTAATTCTCTATTGCCTGAGAAGCCATCTACACAAATCAGGCCTTGGCTTTGTACTTCAGCAATGGAGATGAGGAAAGCACACATATCTAGTCAATCTCAGGTGTGCTGTTGCTTTGGTCATTTCAAACTCGATGTGACAGCAATTAACAGATTAGGACATGCTATAGGTAGTCAAAAGAGATACTCAGAATGCAGGGTTGTAAAAGAGTCTTATTTATTAGAAAGAATAACAAAGTACTTTTATACACATGTTATGTAACATATAAAGTCTGGGCTATTAGGCTCCAGGGTAATAGTGAATTTATTATAGAACCTAAAATACCAAGCTTAAATACTTAAGAATTCCTGCTTACAGCTAGAGTTATTTTTTTTAAATTTAAGTTTAGTAGATAAAGGTCTATTGAAAAATACTGCAAAAATATGAAATTTCAATAGCATCAGTGACCATATGTATTGTAAAACTCTCTTTCTGAAGAAATAGTGAATTGACCTAGCCCAATAACAATACATTTTCTCCTAAAAAATGCAAGTGTATATAGCAATACTGTATACATATATGCAAACAGCAATATTCTTCCATCGAAAGTGAATAACCCTTAAAAATTATAATGTATACAGCAGACCACTCTATGCACAAAAAACTATATTTTGGAGTCAAAGAACAGTAAAGTACAACCAACTGTAGATCTTCTTTGTTAAAGGACCATGGGAAGAACATTAAAACACAAATAAACAAAGTTAGTTTATTTATTTGACAAATATTTTGAGCACATATCATGTGCCAGGTGTTGTGTTTGGCACTGACAATGCAATTGTGGACATGACAGGCATGTTCTCTGCTCTTGTGAAATCTATTGTCTAATGGAGGAAGCTGACAAATAGGCTATTACAATATAGCATGAGAAGTGCTAATAGGGAAAGTACTGAGTTCCACATGATGAGGAAGCAAACACATAGAGAGAAACTAAAACTAGATTTAAAGGAGTCAGAGTTTTCCTGGAGGACATGCTGTCCAAGTTGAGGACTTAAGAGTATGCAGATATAGGTCATTCTGGTGAGGTTAAAGAAAGAAGGGAAAGTATGTACAAAATTTGGGAAGTAAGAAAGCATGCCTCTTTCAAAACATAAACATTTCATGAAGGGCTTGTAAAATGTATGAAGGAATAAGACGTTTATCATAATGGTAACAAGTTGCCATTAAAAACATTTAGGCTACGGAGATTAGAGTTTTATTTTAGAAACATTACTGAAGGTAGGAAGACCAATCAGGATTCTAAGATAGCATTCCAGGTAAGATGCTGGTGGTAATGGATGAGGTTAGTGATGCTGGGAGAGCAGTAGGAAGGTAAAATAATTTTTTAGAAATAAAATAGAGAAGACTTGGTAATTTTTATATGTGGGGAGTGTAGGAGAAACAGGAGTTAAAGATGACAGGAACAAGTCCTATCTGAACATGGATAAGAGGAATATGTCATTTGCTGAGAAAAGAATTACAGGCAGAAAGGATTTGGAAGGATGCTGAGCTCCTCTTTTTTGGATGGGCTTAATTTGAAATATTATGGGATAACCAGGGGCAAATATTGGGCAAGCAAACAAATGGATGAATTTTTTATTCTGTCCAGCACTCTGTTTCTGAATTGGAGATGCAGCTCAGAAACTGTTAGTATGTAAATGGCAATTGAAACCATGGTAGTGGTGACATTGTCCTAGGTGATGTGTGGAGAGATGAGAGAACAGGCTGTTGATCTGACCCCTAGGAACACCAAAAATTAAGTGTTAGGCATAGAAATAGGAGTTATGAAAGGCCCCCATATCCACTAATAATTCTGAAGCCTTAATTTGTTTATTAGTTTATATTCTTCTTGGCTACTAGATGTACTAACAGGTATAAAAGTATTACTTGACTTTTCTTTTTCCTTTACCTTGTAAAGACATAAACCAATAATGACAGAATTTTAAGTAACCTGAAATAAACATTTATAAAATAATTTAAAATATAATCTACACACCAAATGTCCCTTGATTACTCAATGTCTAGTTCTATTTTGAATTTATATCACAACAGACCTTTACTTATACTGTGGTTTGTGCTTCAATAGTTCTGTAACTTATCTTTTTCTGATTGCCTGGAGAGTCTTTCATGGGTTTCCAGATCAGTGACAACCCAGGTTTTTCTCTGATCAAAACATGATTAATAGAAACATGTTTCAGAAGATAACTATGGCCCCTAATCCTCACATGGGAAAGATCAAGATACAGTTTTGGATGAAAATGGAAACATGGCCTCTAGGGGTGACTAATCAGTGGTGTGTTGATGTATTTTTAACAACTGACTTCTCAGAAAACAAAAACAAAAACAAAAACAAACCTTGATTTATAGTGTTTGTCAATTTTTATGGTATAAATACTCCCACCACAGCCAATGTAAGCTACCAGCTTGATATCATTAAAGGCAGAAAAGAAAAAATGTACACAATTTGTTCCCATAAGCTAGTGCAAGCTGGCTCCAGCACACACTTGGACTAAGAAAGATGTAACTGGTGAACAGATAAAAGAAAACACCTTGTATAAGACAGCAAGATATGAAAGGACTGAATTCTACAAAATATTCAGCTTTTACTTTAAAGAAAATTGATTACTCATGTGTATAGTCAGTTTATTTCTGGATTTTGACCTTTTCTTTGAATTGAGGGCTGACAGCATGGTGATGTATATATTAATAATCTAATGGCCTTAGCATTGTAACTTCTATTTCTTTATTCATAAGCAACAACAGTTTCTATAAATGGCTTATATTTGCCATTGAAATGACTGAGAATAATTTTCAATCTACTTTTTTTATACCATGAACCAAAGAAATTTTACCAATTTCATTTTAGGATATCAGTACAATCTACATTATAATATTTCACAAAAGAAAATATTTTATTTCCATCAAATAACTAGTTTTTTCCCATATCAAACCAATAACATATATAGAAAGAAGAGCAGCAAAATAGTTCTTATTTCTTTATATAATTTAATAATACCCTATTAACACCAGTGTGCAGATGCACAGTATTGACAGTATACTAAATAATATTTAGTATATTAAAACTTCCTTTTAAAATATTTTCAGCAGTAGGTACTGGTGGAACCATATTATTTATTATGTAGACAACATCTTTTTGTATTCCAAAGGGAAATTAAAATCCCTGGTAACATTAGAAAAAAATTACTTATTAATATTTTATGCAGATATACAAAATCTCCTAATAACTTCTATTGTACACAAATGAAAACACCTTTTCAAACAACGTGCACTTACACTGAGCTCATAAAGGTTACTATAAAAATACTGCAGACCCAATAAAAACACAATGAAATATACAAAGTCTTCTGTTTTTTAAAAGTCAATTTTAAAAGGCCTGTATTTATACAAACAAATGTACAATACATTTTAGTGCCCCTGACTGGTGTTTTTGTTTAGTATTGTCTGATTTTAGAAATGTAAGTTCAGTGTTTTTCATTATTTTCTGCTTCAGAATGGAAGACACTGAGAATTCACAGAATAATTTTAAAAACTGGATTGGGTAAAAACTTTATAAAGTAGAATATTAAACACTCTACATATAGTAGTTATTGACCTACCCAAGATAAAAATGCCCCAGAGTCCTATTTTCCTTTTTTAACTGGAATTCCTAGATGATTATGTTAACTACCTGTCCCTTGTTTAAATAGTCTTTGAGATGAAAGTATAAAGATTTTAGGTTCTCTAACAAAATCCAAAATATCATCAAAGCCATTTCCACTTCCAAAATGTATTTTTAAAAAATGCTTATTTAAATATCAAACCCTGCAGTGCTGAATTGAGACACACTAAACACATAGATAACCAATTACTGACTTGGCTTTAGCCTTCGAAGAATATTAGAATATGCTGGTAATTTCCAATTTTAAGTACCTAATTTTATACTGTAACATGGTACTTTCTAATAAAGACATCAAGGAAAAACGAGCTGATTTTTTTTTCTTAGAACAATATAGTAAAATATAGAACAATTTTCTGGGGGAGAAAATCCATGCCAAGCTAGGAAATACATTGTTTTAAATCTTAAAATAATTGTTATAAAAGAACTATAAAATTATAAATAATTGAAAAAATGCACTTGAAAATGTCTCTTTAGGAAAAATATGCAACTTGTTATATACAAGAAAATATGCATTACCATAGGGTATTATCCAACTATAGGCCTGGTTTATGAAACATTTAAAAAAACTCACAAAAAGTAATTAGCACCAAAATTGTCTAAAACTTCAAATGATATACTGGAGAAATTCCAGGTCCAACTGTTGCATTATAAAAAACTTATATTCAAGCTGAGAACTTTCCCCAGGAACAATAAACATATTCTTTTCAGTCTTCAGAAAATATGCTAGCTTTATACATTTTCACCACAATATTCAGGTAGTGTATATACATACATTTAACTTGGTTTGGACCAAGCAGGGACAATAGAAATATAACTAATTCCTAAATAATATGGGATTATTTGATAGAGGTGGGGGTGGAACAATTTTCCAATTAAAATTTATGTTTAGCTTGTTTCCTCCTTTTTCCTCCAAGTATTTTATTGGAACTCTTTCTAATAACTATATTGCTTAATTTGAACTCAATATCCTATGATCATTGTTTGGTGGTGTTATTAAAATTCGGCATGGGGCTAGAGGTGTCTAAATGTGGGTACAGATCACAGTAGTGAAAAAAGAGTTTTGAATAAGCTAATTTCTACTCAAAATATATATTTAATTTTGTTATAATCAAGAGTTGAGTTTAGCTTTAAACAACATACTTATAGATTTAATTACAAAACAGCCAGCACACAACCGAAACAGGGCAAACCCTTTTGGCCTTCAAATGTATAACTTCATTGATTACATACATGGCTAACGAATGTCCACTAACAATTCATTCGGCCAAGTTTTACTGCTGCACATAAATAATGACAAGGCAAAGGACAGCAACTAGTCCAAGGGCTTGTAGGCCAAGGAACCACAGCATAAGCCAAAAGAAAATGACTATTACTGGTTCCACAATTCGTTCTCCAAAATACATCCTTGTGAAGCCCATGTTGAGGAGGCTTTTGTTCAATTCACCAAAAAGTGTTCCCATCTTTTTGTAGTCATCTCCAACAGAATCACCAGTGTGGTTTTGTGATTCTTCAATATCCTTAAAAAACAAAAAAGAAAGAAAAAACAAAACATGAACATAAAATGGGAACTATGTAAAGGACTTCAAGAATAACAACTATTTTACAGTTCTTCACCTCTCAAAACAGTAGGTATACATCTGATAATCATTCTATAAATCACATTAATTTAATACAATGATATGTTCTTTTTAACTGACACATAGAATACTATCTCTGTACCCACCTTTCAAGAATATAAAAGATACTAATTCATTGATTTCTATGGAATAAACACAAACTGAACCTGCAACTACCACAACACTGACTTACAAAACTAAGGAAACAGATGATTCATTTCCATTTATTTTTTAGTTTCCTGGAACTGCACAAAGATGATTGCTTAAATGAAAAACCATGTTTGTATCTCTTGTCAGTGACCATGCTTTCAGAGCAACCTTTTCAGCCACTCCCTGTTTTGTAAGGGAGGGCTTCTGATTACTTTGTCCTGTTAAACGTCTTTTTAGTCCTTTCCTTTGACATCAAGATTTTAATGAACTAAGACTCAGCTGACTGGAGCATATTTTGTTGTTACTATTAAGCAATCCTTGGCCATTATTGTTGTGATCTTTCAGGCTTAGTCTCAGCTAGGCAGACTTTGGGGTAAGCCCTTGCATAGCTTCATCTCCAAATGCTACAAGGTCCTAAATGCCTTTTATTAATCTCATTAGGAGAAACAACTAAGGTCAAAAGTCAGTGCCCCAGAAAATGTTCAGGTATACTCAATTATATGTATACGAATGCTATTCCTAGTATTTCCCAACTTTATTATGCTTAAGGCCATCATGTCAGTTATTAAGCACTGTCTCAGCTTCAAATCTACTTCTATGGTTTGCACATTGTCTCCTCAAAGCTTCATGTTTGAGAACATGGTCTTCAGTTTTAAGTTAGAGCCCAGTGGGAGGTCATTATGTCAACAAGGGGCATGCCCTCAAAAGGGATTAAGGTATTTCTTTTGGGATCCCAGTTAGTTCTGACAATAGGACAGTTATAAAAGCCTGAGTCTGTCCCCATGCAGGTTTCTCTGGCTTCCTGCTTCCCCTTAATTTCTTCTTCCAGAACGTGCTCCAAAGTGAAGCAATCCACCTTGAGTTGATGTAGTCAAGGGGGAGCCCTCATCAGAGCCTGCACCATGCCATGTAGCATCCAGAACTGTGAGCAAATTTCTTTTCTTTAAAAACTTACTGTGTCTTAGGCATTTTCTTATAGTAATGAAAAACTGATTAATATACCGACTCTTTGGGATTTTGCAAAAATTTCTGGTTCTCTGGTTCTCCACCAATACAGGAACTAAAGCAACACTGCATAGGTGATGAAGGAAAAAAGTATTTGCTCTTTTGTTGGCTTTGGATGGATTTCTTAATCCTGTTAGTCTCTCTAGTGACAGTTCTTCACTCTGGCAGTGATAAATCCTTCCAGTAGCAGTAACTGATTGCAATTTGGAAGTCTCTCAGTACTTATAGAATCTGTATCAATGTGCATTCTTTAGATATCAGTTCCAACTCATGGTTACCTCTTCCTCAGGTATTTGGTTCCCACGTCTATGCTGTTCCTTTTCTGAAATCATAGACACTGTTACCTAGTAAGCAATGACCCGTTTTCAGAAGTTTGTGTTTCAGTTGCATGGAGGGAGGGCTTTCCTCAGTCTCCTCAGTTTTAGAAATTTTATCTCTTTTCTTCACTGCCCCAGTCCTAGGAGTGGTGGCTGCTTCTGGCTGCTGCTGCTGTCACTATGACATCTTAGTGCAGTGGTTTTTAAACTTGTTAAAGCACAGATTGCTGGGCGCATTACCAAGGTTTCTAATTCAGTAAGTCAGCGGGGTGAGGCTTGGAGTCTAAAAATTTGCCCTTCAAAGAAATTTCCAGGTGATGTTTATGATGCTGGTATGGTGACCACCCTTTGAAAATCACTACCTTAGTGTTTTATTTCTGGCTTTTCTTTTCTTGAACACCTATTTAAAAATTATTTATTATCTTTGTTAAAATAATGGTATGCTTTCAATCTCCTCACTAGACTGTAGTGCAATCATAAAAGAAAAACCATGTCATGTAGCTGATGTAATTATAACATTAAAGCTAAGTTTTTTAGGAGGCATGACTCAAATAATTATTGAACCCTGCTCATATTATTCACAGTAGATGTAAGATGGAGAATTACTCATATTTTAAAAAACCTGTAGACACAGGGTTTCACATAAAAACAAGGAAGGTTTCACATAAATATGCTGTGCAGGCCAAAGGAAAGTAAAGCTAATTATTAAAACAAGTGGGTGTCTTAGGTATTTCCTTAGGAAATGAAAAACTGACTAATATATCTTCCCTTCGGAATTCTGCAAAATTTTCTGGTTCCCTGTTAGGCTCTGCCAACAGAGGAACCAAAGCAACACTGCATAGGTGGAAAAGGAAGAAGGGATTTCTTGCGACAACTCTGGCTGTTGCAGCCTGCTTCTTCTTTTTTTAATTATAAAACTTCTAGCATACATGAAATTAGAGAAAATAGCACAATGAATTCCTACATACCTATCCACCAGATTTAATAACTCCTAAAGTTCTGCCACCTTACTGTACCATTTCTTAACTTGGACAAGGAGCTGCCACAAAGTGCTAATAAATTTGAGGAAGTCGTAAGGCGTTCTTCACACCTGAATCAAACTTACATTCCTTTATCTGGATCATTTTAGTCTTCTACCCATAAATAACTAAAAATATATATATTTTTTCATTTTAAATAGGAGGGCTTGCTGAACACATGCCTGTAATCCCAGCTGCTCAGAAGGCTGAGGTAGAAGTTTAAAGCCAGCTTCAGCAACTTACCTTGGCCTTGTCTCAAAAAAAAAACAAGAAGGGCTGGGGATGTGGCTCAGTGGTTAAGCACCCTGGGTTTAATCCCTAGCGCGCGCACACACACACACACACAAAAGGTCTTTACAATGTCTTATTTTCTATTCTGTATTACAGTTTAAAAATACATCTTTAAGGGAAGAGAGAATGGAATTTTTTTTTGTTAGAAATAGTCTGACAAAGTGATTTTCAATATGACTTAAGAAGTGGACTTTTTCCACATACTAGTAAGTTTTTTAAAATGTAAAATACCACAGGGGATTGATTTTAATTTTCATCAGAAAGGGCATGTGAAAAACAATGTGCTACAAAATTATCCAGGGAGTTTAAAGCCAGGCTGCAAAACTTAATTTAGCTGAGTGATCTTCTCCTGATTTCCTGTGTCTCAGTTTTCTAATCCATAAAATGGATTTATATGATTCTTTTTTGATTCTTATAATTTTCTTTAAAGTTATGATTTATATGTTCATCTCTCCTTTTTAAAATTTTTTTAGTTTTATGTTTTAGTTGTTGATAGACCTTTATTTATATGTGGTGCCGAGAATCAAACCCAGTGCCTCACACATGCCAGGCAACTGTGCTACCACTGAGCCATAGCCCCAGCCCTCCATCTCTCCTTTTTTAAAAACTTGATTTATACATTATTTTTTACTTTGCCCATTAAGCTATGATTGGGCTAATTTTTGTTTCCCATCAACCTGTACTTTTATGTGCTTCATAATAATACACTACAGCAAGACTATTTGTTCTAACTGATATTAAGCCTTTCTTTTCTTTAGGGTAGAATCTTAAGTCTTTAGCTTATAATTCTAATCCCTCATCTCTCTCTACTCCTCAAGTATTTAGCATTATTGATATTATTTCTGGCTTCTTTTTACTCACTTTTTAATTAAAGTTATTTTTTATAACTCTTGATTTCTTATAATCTATATGCACATTGTACTTTGGGTTTTTTTTTTTTTTTTTTTGTTTTTAACTGAAGCTCTTTAAGACTTTTTTTTCAGTAGTTTTGTGGTTTTAGTACAAAGAAAGTACCCTAATGTGATACGACAAGTATTCTCTGAAGATTTATTTTAAACTCTTTGTAAAATGAATTAAGTGTACAAATCCTCGTGCATTTTCCAGGGGAGGAAGTAGGTGTTACAACACTTAAATCAAAGTAGGGGATGAGTTAACCGCTAGAGGCCAGGTGAGGAAACAGCTCTTCTCAAAACACTTGGTGGTGCACCTTAGATACAGCATTAATCAGAGTATTAATTTCCAGGATATTTAAAGAACTCAAAAAACTTAACACCAAAAACAAACAAACAAACAAACAACCCAATTAATAAATGGGCAAAGGAACTGAATAGACACTTCACAGAAGAAATATGATCAGGTAACAATTGTATGACAAATGTTCAACATCTCTAGCAATTAGAGAAATGCAAATTAAAACTACACCGAGATTTCATCTCAGTCCAGTCAGAATGGAAATTATCAAGAACAAATGTTGGCAAGGATGTGGGGAAAAGGGTAAATTCACATTTCTGGTGGGACTGCAAATTGGTACAAGCACTCTGGAAGTAGTATGGAGATTACTTAGAAAACTTGGGATCAAACCTCCATTTGACCCAGTTATTCCACTCCTTGTGCTATACCCAAATTACTTACAATCAGCATTCTATAGTAATGCAGCCACACCAATGTTTACAGCAGCTCAATTTACAACAGTCAACTATGGAACCATCCTAGGTGCCCTTCAACAGATGAATGGATAAAGGAAGTGTGATACATCCCCCCCCCAACCACGCACAGTGGAATATTACTCAGCCATAAAGAAGAATGAAATTATAGCATTTGCTGGTAAATAAATGCAACTGGAGAATATCATGCTAAGTAAAATAAGTCAGTCCCCAAAAACCAAAGGCTGAAGGTTTTTTTTTTTTTCCCTGATATATGGATGCTAACCCATAACATAGGAGGGTAGAGAGGGGAAGTACAGAACTTCATTAGATTAGACAAAGGGGAATGAAGGGAAAAGAGGGGTGACAGAAACAGGAAAGGTACTGGAATGAATCTGACTTAACTTTCCTATGTACACATATGAATATACTACATGAATTTCCACACCATGTACAACCACAAGACAGTCCTAATT